CTCTTATTGTGAAAATGCAGATGTTTTGTATTGAATGTCATATTCTCATGTTACGATGTTTCTCTTTTAAAACATTTCTAAAAGCAGCTCTGATTTCACAGTAAAACATTGGAATTTTATATGGATGATTTGCTGATGTCGCAGTGACTGATATGTTTAGGTTTTGGGTCAGGTAAAGGGCAGCGCTGGACTGTATTCTTTAAAAGTGTAGTTCTAAAAGTGTGCCTTAATGACGCCAGTGGCAACTGCAGTGTGTGTTATAAATGACTGGATGGTGTTCAAACCTCATGCCAGATTTTTGTCACTGGGACTAGATCACAATATAAGCCACATCACAAGTGAGTTCAAAAATATATATTTTTATTAGAGACATACACAAAAACAACTGTAACAATAAAGAAGTGAATAATACAATAACAAGACACTATATATTAACAGCAAAGGTGTCAACTGGCTACTCCAGCATGAACCAGTCGTGGTAAGGCATCTGTCCTAGAAGAATTCTGTGCTCTGGAATCTGCTGCAGACAAGCCCACATCAGATCACAGCATTCTGTGAAAAACAAAAGGAGAGGTGAGATTATTATTATTATTATTATTAATAATAAACTGATTTTCAACTTGTTCTTTGATGAACATCTCACCTTGAGAGAGGGTAAATTTGGACCAGTCATGCTCCAGGTAGTACAGGTCATACGTCGTTGGGAAATCTCCATGCAGCAATGTGAAGAGAAGAACCCCAAGAGAATAGACAGTCGCTGGTTTGGCATGGTAACATCCTCTTTTGTAAAACTCTGGCGGCATGTACGCTTCTGTGCCTGGAGGAGAGACATTTAGTTGAATCTATGTGTCAGCATCATGTTGATATATATAACAGATGGGTTTCAGGTGTGCTAATTACTGAGCTTTTAAACCGTATATTAATAATGCTTATGTACATTCATGACTAGTGTTGTCAAAAGTATCGATACTGTCATATTTGCTGAGCATGTGAACACCAATGACCAATCAGTGGTGTTTAACTGCGCTCAAATGGACATTTTTTAAATGTCAGTCCCGAAGTCGATACTTTTGACAACCCTATTCAAAACACCTACCAGAAAAGGTGGAGTATGCTGATTCCATCATGTAATCTCCGCAGCCGAAGTCAATCAGTTTGACCTCCAGTGTGTTTGGGTTTACAAGCAGGTTTTGCAGCTTAATGTCTCTGTGGAATACTTCCCGGTAGCAGCAAACATTGGCAGCATGAACAGCTTGGCCCATGATAGTTTGTGCCGTTTGCTCGGTGAGGACGCCTCCGTTGAGTTGCAGGAATGCCTCCAGGTCCATACTTGGCGTAGGCCGCTCCATGACCATGACATAATGGTCTTTGAAGACCTGCCAGTCTAGGAGCTGAATTATATTGGCACACCTGGAGCCACTGCTGGCCATACTTGCCAAGGTGATCTCTAGAGGTGGCTGGTCATGAGACTGAAAACAAAATAATAATGTTGGTTTTCAAACAAGGATTTTTAACCACAGCCTGTTGTCTAATATTAAATATAAGACATTATGAGTTGAACACAGTGACTGAGAAGAGAAAAACAGAAAGTGTAGTGTACTTACAGAGCAGAGATCTCGCATACGTGGTGTCATCTGGGCAAATTTAACAGCCACCTGTTTAAAGAAATAAGCGAACAATTAACATGTGCATCCAGATCATTTCATTCAAATCCTGAACAGAGGTTTCATCAATTTGAATTCTCAGAAATGTCAAAACAATGAAAGCATGTTTCTGATGATGTTCTTTAAATAGTGAACTTCATCAAAGAATTTGAGTCTACAGAAATGAATACCTGCAGACCATCCTGTATGCGGATCCCCTCAAAAACGGAGCCGAAACCTCCTTCACCGAGCTGCTTTCCCAGATTGTAGCGGGAGCTGATGTCATCTGTTAAAAAAGAAGAACATTTAGCTGACTGGACACAAAATCTTATTCAATTATAAACCAAATAAAACACAGAGTTTACAACAAATAAGACTTTCTCCATAAGAAAAAAGATTTTAGGAAATGAAGGAAGTGAAAACTTCTTTACTCTGTTAAAAATAATTTGGGAAATATTTGAAAATGGAAAAAAATCACAGGAGGGCGAATAATTTTGACTTCAACTGTATAATTTTAAAATGTTTGATGAGCCTAAACAAATGTTATGAATTCTAGCAATAAACTTACTATTGTCCAAACAGGTCTCATCATCTGCTGTAAGACTCAGTGCAGAATCATCAGCGGAGTCATCTTGTGAGACCTTCTGATTCAGTGAAGACTCCGAGTCTTCATCCAGTGCAGAGTCAATGTCAACCTGCACAGAGTCTCCGCTGAACGCTTCAAAGATGCCGTCTGTTGAGAACTGCTGACTCACTGGAGATTCAAAGCTATTCACTTTAGATTTCACAGTGGAGTCCAAGTCTTCTTCTGCTGGAGCATCAGGAATAGAAGGTTGGAGAACCTCCAGCTCCAGATTGTTCACAGCTGTATGGAAGAATTTCGAGCTACTGATCGGCTCGTCCTGAAGGTCGTGGATCTCCAGCACAGGGAGCGGATCTAAAGAGGGGAAGGAATATCATTAATATGATTCTGTAACTCTTGATTAGATATTTGAAAAGTTCATTTGCAAAAACATCACTCAATGTATTTAATATTTATTTTTGATCTTCATGTTTTTTCTGTATTGAAGTGATAATTAGCAATAAAAAGTATGTTTAAACTATATATCCAAAGGCATCAATACAATTAATTATGAATTTCTTCTGTAAAACACAAAAAAATGCCTATTCTGAAGAATATTGCTGAAATCAGCAGCCATTAAACTTCACTGTAGGAACTCAAAATACTGTAAGTCAATGGCTGAATTCAGTATTTTTGTTCAACACAAGAAAGCATCTCAAACAGGTTTGAGAAATAAATTATGACAGAATATTCATGTTTATGTGAACTGTCCCTTTTAAGAAACTACCTAAAATCCTCAAATGTTTCCAGTTAATTTTATTTCTTATCTTTAAACAGCTACTCTGACATGTTCGGTGTGTTTAACAGTATGTTTTTTAGTAATTAAAATTCATAAACCTAATTTACCATCAACAGTAGCTCTTTTGGGGAAACAGGCTTGGAAGAGGGAAGACTTTTTCTGTCTCCCTGTCTGTTTTCTTGCAACCACGGGAGGGTCATCAGTTATCGGATGACGGTGGTTTCCTGTCGTGTTGCCGGTGGATGCGAGTGGCTCACGGGGTGGTTTGTGTGCACACTTGATACCGAACGCTTTCTTTAAACGGGAAATTAACTTTGAAAAAGCCATTTTATCACCGTTGTGTGGAATCGCAGTAAGTACTGAACTACTTGTCATCCAGAGAAGCAATGAGGGTTTCTGCTGGATTCAGTCAGCGTTAATTAGCCACTGATGATGTCAGAGTTACGTGGTTCCATTTGGAACGCGAAAGAATATTTTCAAAACACGCGGGGACTTTTTAAAACACAATAACTCAAACAACTAATGCAGGGCCGCGCTAGACTGACTGGCTAATTCGCCTTAAAGTGACCACACATCCACGTTATATACACACACACACACACACATATATATATATATATGTGTGTGATAATAGTTTTTCTTCTGGAGAAAGTCTTATTTGTTTTATTTCAGCTAGAATAAAAACAGTTTGAATTTTTTAAAGAACATTTTAAGGTCAAAATGATTAGCACCTTCAAGCTATATTTTTTCAAGATAGTCTACAGAACAAACCATCATTATACAATAACTTGCCTCATTACCCTAACCTGCCTAGTTAACCTAATTAACCTAGTTAAGCCTTTAAATGTCCCTTTAAGCTGTTTAGAAGTGTCTTGAAAAATGTCTAGTCAAATATTATGTTCTGTCATCATGGCAAAGATGAATTAAATCAGTTATTAAAAATGAGTTAAAACTATTATGTTTAGAAATGAGCTGAAAAAAATCTGCTCTCTGTTAAACAGAAATTGGGAGAAAAAAAATTACAGGGGGGTTAATAATTCAGGGGGGCTAATAATTCTGACTTTAACTGTATGCATATATATATATATATATATATATATATATATATATATATATATACAGGTCTGCATGTTATTACAGAACACATTCATACAATTCACACCTGATTACAGTGTTCTTGTTCTTGTTTTTTCTTTTTAGGAGCCGAAAGATAGATGTGGTAAGATTTTTATATATATGTTTGTTTCCCTATAAAAATGTTTACTTGTTTGATGAACAGTCATAGTATCTATTTCTATCTGTGATCCTTTGTCAGGTTTAAGTGTGAGTTCTGCAAGTTCTTGTGATGTTTTTAATTATTAGGACTGTTTATACTTCCAATAGGGCTGGGCGATTAATAGCAGACAATAATTTGTGCATTTTGTCAGTAAAGCTGGTTCTAATAAACGTCCAGCACATGCGTTCAGATGCAGTAGCTTTTACTACACACTACACTGAGTTATTGTACACTGATAAGCTATGCAAAACTCTGATTAGATTTAATCTATTAATAATGACAAACAAATAATCATTCTGTGATAATGACAGCTGCATCACTTCTCAAACTTTGTGTAATAAAGGCTGCACTTGAAATTACGGCATTACAGACCATTTAGGGCAGTGTTTCTTAACCACGTTCCTGGAGGACCACCAGCTCTGCACATTTTCCAAATCTTCCTAATCAAACACACCTGAGTCAGATCATCAGCTCTTTAGCAGAGACTGAAAGACCTGTAATAGATGTGACAAATTAGACATCCAAAACATGCAGTGTTGGTGGTCCTCCAGGAACGTGGTTGAGAAACACTGATTTAAAGGTATGTAAACAACCTAATTAAGGTCCTAACCTATTTCATGTTTTGCACGTTAAATTTCTGTAGCTTTAGAGAATTCAAAATAGTACAATATTCTGTTTATTCAACAAGTGCTAGTGGTATTTCCTGGGTTTCTTTATGGGCATTTGGGGTTTCTGGGAGAGCACCCTCTGGCTTTTGGCAGAGATTTACTATAGATCACACCATGCCTCCCTGACAAGATATGCATGAGAATGTATTATTTGCTCAATCGAGTTCACAATTTTTCATTACCAATAATGAAACAGGGCTGTTCAATATTTGATTCTGATTGGCTAATGAACATTTTGAGGTCTGCAATTAATTTTTATGGAAGCAAACAGCTAAAGAAGTTCCAGGCAGGCACAATGCTGAATGATTTCAATTGTTTCATAGACCACAAATGGCAGAAATCTCATCACAGTAAAACTATAGGCTTTAGGTGTGGTAACTGTAATACAAGTGGGATAAATGACTCTGATCTATTGAAGTTGCAGTACTTTTCTAACAATTCAATGCCTGTCAACAATTATGCCTTAGTTAAATTGGTGGAATGTTTTCTGATCGTGTTTGTTTGTCTTTACCCAGGTGAAAAGCCCTTTTGTGCCACTTCACAATGCAACACAGGAAGAACTCATTTATAATAACTGAGACTTTCGAAGAGTGAAACACTCTTCGACCCCAGACGCTGGGGTTGTGCCGATAGACGATGCCATCTTCCATCGCAGATGGCCGACAAACTTCACGGTGCTGAGCTGGCATTGGGATCCATCGCCTCGCCCCATATTTATATTTATATGTAACTTATTATGTAACTTATTATTTGCATATCTATCCCTATGAGGAAAAGATTTTTCAGATTTCAGAAAATAATACCCTCTCTGAATGTAGCTATAGAGACAGGATCCTTAAATTATTTGTTTCAGACACTCTGAGAAAAGATTCAGAATCTGTTGCAAATGGGTGTAAATCATTTGACTTGCAAAACAAAATGAAGGCACTTTAATATAACTTTGTGTTTAAAAAAGCGCACAGACTGACAAAACGTAAGTGTAGGTGAAGTAGCTTTGTATTAAAGTCTCTGCCTGTGTATAATAAATATAAATGTGTATATATATATTTTATCCTAGACTCACATGGCCTTGCATGCATATTTGAGGCCTCATAAATGCACCAGCTGCAGTTTTGCCTCTAAAAACATGAAAGACCTGCGACGCCACATGATGACACACACCAACGAGAAGCCTTACTCCTGCCAGGTGTGCGGCCAAAGGTGAGCAACTGAGAAAGAATCATTCAAATAAATTAGCAAATCTTAGAATTTGTACTGTTTACATTATTAATACAGACACAATCATAAATGTTTCCCCAAATTAAACAAAGAAACACATTGCCCCTCATATTGAAACTCTCATAAATTATTTTTAGGTTCAACCGTAACGGCCATCCACATGGAGAGGCTTCACACTCAGGAGCCGTCTCCCCGTAAAGCTCGCTCCATCCCCTCACAGCAGACCATCATCATCAACAGCGATGAAGAAGCTTTAGCCACACTGCAGAGTAAGTGCTGGAATGAATATAATTGAGTGGAGGAACTATGACGTCAATTTTTATGCAAAAATCCTGAAGCGAATTCCGGTTCCCTTGTCCCAAAGTCAATGGGTTTTTTAAAATGTGGTTTTGGTTAAATCACTTAAATAAGGTTTGTTGCTACCACAAACTCAAGATACTTTCACACTTTATTTTACGACACAAAACACATCAGATACATCCCACTTTTGATTTTATTTGTTTTTATCAGAGACATTATACGTCTTCCAGCTGAACTGGTCTGGAATGCGGCCCGCTTTAAATTTACAGCTTGTGTTGGACATTTGGATTTTTCTGTTATTTAGTGGAAGTGTTTTCATAAATCATATTTTATATAGGTTGTTGTATTTTTTCTTATTGGGCCTTCATATTGTGTGTAGATAATGACTAGTAGAGACCATTATGACAGATTCATTTGTTTCATCAGGGTTAGGGTATCATTTATTTAAATAAAGCTATTTAATAAAGATTCTGCTTACCATAGGACACTGTCTCTTCCCTGCTTTCAGTAATGCAAAAGTTGTGAATAAATTTGTAAATTATATATAAATATTCACTATCTAATGATTTTTTTGTCTTTTTTTCTTCATGTGAACAAATTTTTAATTATAAATGCAATATTTACACTCCTCCTTAAACTCATTTATACTCACCTTAGAACGTATATCATATGTGACTGTATGGGCTGCTTTTCTCAGTACTTCATAACAAAAAAGATTATTGATGTTCTCTATCCATGACGGCATTTGCAATGGTTTAATAGACTTTTTGATAGACCTTATTTCTGTCGTCTATGAAAAAGAATATGGGATTTGTAATTGACAGTCATAGCTAGGTTTTCACTAAGGTTAACGGGCTATGTGCACGCAGGCAATACACTTATTTAAACATGTGTTATGATTAGAATATATAGGCACATTTCTAAAACAGTACAGTACATGTTTGAAAACGTATACACCAACTGTAAAGCAAAACAAATGTATTTCTCATTGGGAAACTATCCAAAAGGCATGTACTGTAGGTCTGTATAAATGTTGTGTGAGGATTATCCTGTTGGACAAAACGTGTAAGTGTAATGAACTGTGTTTGAACACAGAGCTAATTATTTGCAATCTTCGAGAAGTCTATAGGAAAATCTTATGGGGATTTTATTGAAGCAACCAGTTTTATGCTAGCAGCCGATTGGCCTACAAGAGAACATCATAGTTCCTCCACTCTATACTGTAGTCACACAGCCCTGGTCTGTTTATTAGACACATCTTGTTACTTTGTTTCATTATATTTCTTCTTTTGTGATTTATAGATTTGCAGGCGGGTCAAACGGTCATCAGCCCAGAGAGGTTACAGCAAGCGTTGGGTCAGGAACACATCATTGTGGCTCTGGATCAAAGTCTTTCTGACCAGGTACTGCACAGCTACACACTTTCTCATTCACAGCCTGTAATTAATGTTGGTTGGTTATGAAAAATCACAAAGAAGAGCTTTACATTTGAGATTGTATCTAATGCAAGGTGGTTTAGATTTTATAAAGTGGTAAATGTATAAATGTAATATAAATTCAGGTTTTAAAGGCATGTTTTTGAAAAAAAGTTTCTTAGGAGGAGGCAGCATATATTCAGCAGATCACAACAGTAGATGGACAGACCATACTGCACTTAATGACTGGAGACAACCAGGTCACTGAGGTAAGACTCATTTATTAAAGCTGTTTTCAAATAAACAGTAAACACACATTTAACAGTTTGGTTTTGAACAGATTTTTCATTTGAACTACATTTAGTAAAATATATAAAATAATAAGTGATTTTTTTTCCTGCCCTAGTTTTAAGGTTTTAAACCTTTTTGTTTAAACACTTTTGCAGACAAAGTAGCAAAATTTAGTAGTTTGAAGAATAGTGGAAAGTATAAAAATTTCAAATAATAATTTATTAGTATTTTGGTGCTAAACTATGATATTAAAATAGAGTTTACGAACATGTTATCAAATGATTCTTGTTTTAAATATGTCTGATAAGATTCTTAGGTCTATTATCTGTTGTTACACTGAATTATATTTTAGTTTGTGTCTTCTCATAATCATTGTAAAAAGTTTGACAGCCTACAAAAAAGTTAGGATTAAGTGATTTTCTCCTAAAAACACGCAAAATAATATAAAAACAAGCTTATTTTGCTTTTGCACTTTCATATTTTGTTTTAATGAAAAGCTGCCTTAATGTTGACATCTTTTTGTGAAAACAAGACTATATTTTTTTCTTGTTGTTGTGAGTTTATGATGTTTAAAAGGAATGCTGTAACATTAAGGTGAGACACATGTAATGTGTGCGACAGATTAAGGATGAGGCAGGAATTGATTCAGAATTTAAGCATTTTACTCAATGGTTTAAGCAAAAGATGTAACAATAATAGTAGAAAAAGAAATAAACATTTACAATATTGTCTTTAAACGAAAACAACAATGATAAGCCAAATTAAAGAAATTAACAAAACAAAACAATCCTTAAATCTAATGCCTAAACTAGGCGACAAAAATAAATAATGAAAATAAAATCTATATCTTCAGTCACGACACCCGATGTAAACTAATTAAACTACAAACTCAAAACTACACAGGGGGCGAAACTCAAACTAATCCTAAAAAAATCAATCTAAACTAAAACAAACCTTACAAGAAGGTCATAAAGTTCAGTTTAGAATCACACAACAACCATCAAAGCCTTTACTCAAACCCAGCAAAGTTTAACAAGTAAAATGGAATTACCACAGTAAATAACAAATAATAATAAAAATAATAAATCATCTAATAGCCTAAGCATGACAGAAAATGCAACAGCGTGGCACCCAAAGGTATGCCGAGGCAGAGCGCACACCAAACACTGATCTTTAGCAGCTTTAAATCTCCGCGACTCATCCGGGGATTGGTTGATCTGGCACCATCATAATAATGATGGACGGTTAACTGAACCTATAAGAAAACTAAGAGTGGAGTGAGAAGCTGAGAGAGAAGGGTGAGGAAAATAAATACACAAAAGTAACATCCAAAACAATTTATAGTTTTAATGAATCTTACTCCCAACCACTTTACTTTGTTTTGTTTTTTCCCAATCTTTTAATTACTTAGAGACCAAGAAGAAAGTTTTGCAGTGTATGTTTGATTAGGGATGAAGTATACAGGACATATTTTAATATATGATAAAAAACTAAAGCTAAATCACACTTATAGTTTTGACTCTTGAAAATAACACCAGTAAGCGCCTTAAGCCTCATATTTCCTTGTGTTAAATGGCAAAATTAAATTTACTGCCTCTTCCACTCCCTTTTCTCAGGTCCAGTATATCATCTCTCAGGATGGAGTTCAGCATTTGCTCCCAAGAGAGTATGTGCTGGTATCATGGGAAACACATTCAGGTTAGTCTTTGTGCTTTACATCATTCATAACCCAAGAGTCCAGAACTCCTCATGGTTTTTAATGAACAGTTCACTGATGGCTCATCTGATCTGTAACTGCAACCCAAGAAGCCTTTTTAGCTTTTTATGGTCTGTTGGATGCTTTTTCATCATCATGACTAAAACCCTGACTTTGAATTGCAGATGGGGGACTGGCAAATCACTCACATTCAGTATGAACATGATGGGATGTTTCTACAGGAACAACAGGTTGAGTTCAGAGCCAATACTGGCACACTTGTTTACTTTGTTCATGTTGTAATTACTGTAATTCAAATGTAACATGATTGCTTATAAATACTTGAACTGTTTGTGTTTACTTAACATGAACAGTAAAACCAATGCATGATGTATGTCTTAACTAAATCAGAAACTTTTATTGTTTTGTTTTGTTAAACATTTTGAGAGGCCTGAAAATAAACCTTTGAAAATTGGTTTTAAAGACCAAGTTTTTGAAAATGCTACAGATTTAAATTAAAATGTTTTCTTTGTAGATTACATGGCATGTAAGTGTAGATTACAGATTACTTAACAATACAACAAAACTATAAACATCATATGTTTGCAGGCACATAGTGTATTTTATAAAAAGAAATTGCCAACTACTGGCCTGACATAAATAGTACAGCATTTTTCGGCCTTTTTCACAGACTCATCTCAATGTCACATTCTCATGTTACGATGTTTGTATTTTAAAACATTTCTAAAAACAGTTCTGAATTCACAGTAAAATATTGGAATTTTATATGGATGATTTGCTGATGTCGCAGTGACTGATATGTTTAGGCTTTGGGTCAGCGCTGGACTGTATTCTTTAAAAGTGTATTTCTAAAAGTGTGCCTTAATGATGCCAGTGGCAACTGCAGTGTGTGTTATAAATGACTGGATGCTGTTCAAACCTCATGCCAGATTTTTGTCACTGGGACTAGATCACAATATAAGCCACATCACAAGTGAGTTCAAAAATATATATTTTTATTAGAGACATACACAAAAACAACTGTAACAATAAAGAAGTGAATAATACAATAACAAGACACTATATATTAACAGCAAAGGTGTCAACTGGCTACTCCAGCATGAACCAGTCGTGGTAAGGCATCTGTCCTAGAACAATTCTGTGCTCTGGAATCTGCTGCAGACAAGCCCACATCAGATCACAGCATTCTGTGAAAAACAAAAGGAGAGGTGAGATTATTATTATTATTATTATTATTATTATTATTATTATTATTATTATTAGTAAACTGTTTTTTAACTTGTTCTTTGATGAACATCTCACCTTGAGAGAGGGTAAATTTGGACCAGTCATGCTCCAGGTAGTACAGGTCATACGTCGTTGGGAAATCTCCATGCAGCATTGTGAAGAGAAGAACCCCAAGAGAATAGACAGTTGCTGGTTTGGCATGGTAACATCCTCTTTTGTAAAACTCTGGCGGCATGTACGCTTCTGTGCCTGGAGGAGAGACATTTAGTTAAATCTCTGTGTCAGCATCATGTTGATATATATACCAGATGGGTTTCAGGTGTGCTAATTACTGAGCTTTTAAACCGTATATTAATAATGCTTATGTACATTCATAACTAGTGTTGTCAAAAGTATCGATACTGACACTCATCACAGTCATATTTGCTGAGCATGTGAACACCAATGGCCAATCAGTGGTGTTTAACAGCGTTCAATTGGACATTTTTAAAATGTCAGTCCCAAAGTCGATACTTTTGACAACCCTATTCAAAACACCTACCAGAAAAGGTGGAGTATGCTGATTCCATCATGTAATCTCCGCAGCCGAAGTCAATCAGCTTGACCTCCAGCGTGTTTGGGTTTACAAGCAGGTTTTGCAGCTTAATGTCTCTGTGGAATACTTCCCGGTAGCAGCAAACATTGGCAGCATGAACAGCTTGGCCCATGATAGTTTGTGCCGTTTGCTCGGTGAGGACGCCTCCGTTGAGTTGCAGGAATGCCTCCAGGTCCATACTTGGCGTAGGCCGCTCCATGACCATGACATAATGGTCTTTGAAGACCTGCCAGTCAAGGAGCTGAATTATATTGGCACACCTGGAGCCACTGCTGGCCATACTTGCCAAGGTGATCTCTAGAGGTGGCTGGTCATGAGACTGAAAACAAAATAATGATGTTGGTTTTCAAACAAGGATTTTTAACCACAGCCTGTTGTCTAATATTAAATATAAGACATTATGAGTTGAACACAGTGACTGAGAAGAGAAAAACAGAAAGTGTAGTGTACTTACAGAGCAGAGATCTTGCATACGTGGTGTCATCTGGGCAAATTTAACAGCCACCTGTTTAAAGAAATAAGCGAACAATTAACATGTGCATCCAGATCATTTCATTCAAATCCTGAACAGAGGTTTCATCAATTTAAATTCTCAGAAATGTCAAAACAATGAAAGCATGTTTCTGATGATGTTCTTTAAATAGTGAACTTCATCAAAGAATTTGAGTCTACAGAAATGAATACCTGCAGACCATCCTGTATGCGGATCCCCTCAAAAACGGAGCCGAAACCTCCTTCACCGAGCTGCTTTCCCAGATTGTAGCGGGAGCTGATGTCATCTGTTAAAAAAGAAGAACATTTAGCTGACTGGACACAAAATCTTATTCAATTATAAACCAAATAAAACACAGAGTTTACAACAAATAAGACTTTCTCCATAAGAAAAAATATTATAGGAAATGAAGGAAGTGAAAACTTCTTTACTCTGTTAAAAATAATTTGGGAAATATTTGAAAATGGAAAAAAATCACAGAAGGGCGAATAATTTCGACTTTAACTGTATAATTTTAAAATGTTTGATAAGCCTAAACAAATGTTATGAATTCTAGCAATAAACTTACTATTGTCCAAACAGGTCTCATCATCTGCTGTAAGACTCAGTGCAGAATCATCAGCGGAGTCATCTTGTGAGACCTTCTGGTTCAGTGAAGACTCCGAGTCTTCATCCAGTGCAGAGTCAATGTCAACCTGCACAGAGTCTCCGCTGAACGCTTCAAAGATGCCGTCTGTTGAGAACTGCTGACTCACTGGAGATTCAAAGCTGTTCAGTTCAGATTTCACAGTGGAGTCCAAGTCTTCTTCTGCTGGAGCATCAGGAATTGAAGGTTGGAGAACCTCCAGCTCCAGATTGTTCACAGCAGTGTGAAAGAATTTCGAGCTACTGATCGGCTCGTCCTGTAGGTCATGGATCTCCAGCACAGGGAGCGGATCTAAAGAGGGGAAGGAATATCATTAATATGATTCTGTAACTCTTTTGACTAGATATTTGAAGTTAATTTGCAAAGACATCACTCAATGTATTTTATTATAATCTTGCAGTTTTTCTGTATTGAAGTGATAATTAGCAATAAAAAAGTATGTTTAAACTATATATCTAAAGGCATAAATACAATTAATTATGAATTTCTTCTTTTAAACACAAAAATAGACCTATTCTGAAGAATATTCCTGAAATCAGCAGCCATTAAACTTCACTGTAGGAACTCAAAATACTGGAAGTCAGTATTTGTGTTCAACACAAGAAAGCACCTGAAACAGGTTTTAGGAGTGAATTATGACAGAATATTCACGTTTATGTGAACTGTCCCTTTTAAGAAACTACCTAAAATTCTTAAATGTTTCTAGTCAGTTTTATTTCTTATCTTTAAACAGCTACTCTGACATGTTCGGTGTGTTTTAGCATTGTTTTAGTAATTAAAATTCATAAACCTAATTTACCATCAACAGTAGCTCTTCTGGGGAAACAGGCTTGGAAGAGGGGCGGGTCATCGGTTATCGGATGACGGTGGTTTTCTGTCATGTTGCCGGTGGATGCGAGTGGCTCACGGGGTGGTTCGTGTGCACGCTTGATACCGAACGCTTTCTTTAAACGGGAAATTAACTTTGAAAAGGCCATTTTATCACCGTTGTGTGGAATCGCAGTAAATACTGAACTACTAGTCGTCGAAAGAAGCAATGAGGGTTTCTGCTTGATTCAGTCAGCGTTAATTAGCCACTGATGATGTCAGAGTTACGTGGTTCCATTTGGAACGCGAAAGAACATTTTCAAAACACGCGGGGACTTTTTAAAACACAATAACTCAAACAACTAATGTTGGCTAATTTGCCTTAAAGTGCCCACACATCCACGTTATACACACACACACACACACACTTAGGTCAGAATTATTATCCCCCCTTTTTCTTTTCAGTTTAGTCCCATTATTAATCTTAGTCGACACAGCAGATTGAACCACCAACTTTTCCAGCATATGTTTTACACAGCAGATGCTCTTCCTGCTGCAAGCCACCTCTGGGAAACCTTTTAATTTTTTCTCTATTAAATATTTCCAAAATTACATTTAAGAGAGCAATGAAATTTTCACAGTATGTCTGATATTTTTCTTCTGCAGTTTTATTATTTATTGAGTATAGTATAAATATTACTTATTATTAAGTCTTATTTGTTTTGGCTAGAATAAAAGCAGTTTTTATTACATTTTAACGTCATATTATTAGCCCATTTAAGCTATTTTTTTCCAATGGTCCACAGAACAAACCATCATTATACAATAACTTGCCTAATTACCCTAACCTGCCTAGTTACCCTAACTAACCTAGTTAAGCCTTTAAATGTCATTTTAAGCTGTTTAGAAGTGTCTTGAAAAATGTCCAGTCAAATATTATTTACTGTGATTATGGCAAAGATAAAATAAGTCTTTCACGATGTAATTTCTCATTTTAATAATAGTTTTAAAGGATATCTGTGTGGTATTTAGAGACTCATTATGTTTTTAATTTAAATGAACTAATTTAGTAATGTTTGTATGTAACTGGACTTGAAAAAAAAATTTTATCTAAAACTTCTTCTCAATTAACATTAGTGACAACATTAGAAAACCATAGATAAGAGCTGACAGTTACTTACAGCCATTTATTTATTACCATCCTGGGTTTTGCTTTCATTTGCAAATTACTAACAAAATGTAGCACTTAATATTTAGTTAGTTTCTGTCATTTGAAAGTAATTGTTTACAGTATTGCAATATTTCTGTCTCTATTGTAATGTTACACTACTTTTGCATTGAATCTGAGCTCATTTTCGATATCATGGGTATGACCTATTATGTAGACTGTATATCAGTGGTTCCTAACTGTTTAGAGTGGCATACTCCTAACATCCTTCTCCATTCTCTTTTCCGCTCAGACTGCAGTCTCTTCATTCAAGCACAATATTTGCAATTTAAATAAACATTTTCTGTGAATTCTTTACCTTTATGAATTCTTCTTTTTTTACATGAATAATGTTTAGAATAAAGTATAAAGAAAAATATACAACTATAGTCAAAATTATGTTTTCCATGCATTAACTGAGCCCGCCAGTAGGTGACAGTAAAGCCCTGTTTTAAGTGAATAAGACATTTATTCAGTAACAAAGCAACGGTTGCATTTATGAACAGGTCAATGAATCGACTCTCACAATTCATTTCAACCACAGATTCATTCACCAAAATAAACCACTCTAGCCGAAGAAACCACTGGACCGATGTGAATGCTACCAGGTTGGAATAATGATTAATATTCTTGTAGATTGAAGATTTTGTTGACATTAGGTTTTATAGAGTTACAAAAAAGGTAAAAAATTGTTTTAACTGCGAACTGTACTGATTTTGTGTGAACATGCTACATGCTAACACTGTCATGGCATCCAACAACTGCAACCAGCAGCAGGGCATCCAGCATGACGTTTAGTGTTTACTGTTGAGTAACCACGACACACACATTATCAACACACACACACACACACAGAGAGACAGACGGAACATCAGAAACTTATCTCAGCTCCAAATTAACATCACAAACTGCCATGAGAAGTAACACAGACTTCTTCCAGAATCATCAGTCATTTATAATTTTTTGTAAGTTTCATTTATAGCCTTTGTAAATAGTGAAAGAAATTTATCTTTGTGTTCCTACAATGTTTAGCCTTGTAAAGGTAAAATAAATATGTATAGAGAAAACTGTATTTAAGAAGAATAATGGACATGTCTCTGTGGATGCTGCTTTAATGACAGTCTGTATATACCTGTAGGCTGGAGGATTGACGTCATATTGCTATGAAACAGTTCCTAGCTGTAGCTAAAATGCTTATAAAGAAGGTTTTGATCATTTGCTGTTTCATCTTTAGCTTCTTTAGTTTTACAGATGTCTTTCTTTAAACATGGCTACAAACAGGAACTTTAAATGCAAACCAAAGAAATCAAAGCCTCTTTATCTGAATCTAACACTGATTTTCTTGCATTAGTTGTGCTATAATATTGTACAATTCTGGTTTTACAAAGCTGTTGTCTGCTGCATATGATCAGTGGTGGAAAGAGTACAGAAATATCATACTTAAGTAAAAGTACCATGACTTGCCTATAAATTTAGTGCAAGTAGAGTAAAATTATCTGTTGTTAATATTACTTAAAGTATCAGCCCTTTCTAAAGTACTCGAGAGTAGTAAGTATTACGCTGTAAAAAGCTGATGCATTGGCGACCATAATTCAATGTCCAGTCAGCGTCTAAAGACATTTTGATGTACAATAATGATGTCAAGTGACGTTGATATTTGGTTGATTTCAGGTTATGTTATAAAAGCATCAAGCCAATATCTTAAACCAACATCACGTTGATGTCAAATACTGACCAAAATCCAACATCTGATAGCTGTCATTGTGGTAACGTCCACACAACCTCAAGCATCTTTAGACGTTGATTTTAGGTTGGACATCCGATTTTCATTTCCAAACAAAATGCAGCGTCTCTATGACATTGGAAGACAACGTCAGTCTGATGTCGTGTTGAGGTCTTGTGCCTGCTGGGTGTTTAAGGCCATTTCGGTCATCATACAGTAAACACCCATGATCTTCTCATCAGTGACATGCATCTAAACAGTCTCTGGGTCATTGAGTATAAAGATTTTGGACAATTTTAATGCTTGCAAACAGTTTGCTGCAATTATAAATCGCCCAAGTCTTGAGGTAGATCTTTATGTTGCGATTTACTTTCTGTGTGCGATTTAACTGGACAGGAATCTCAAGACTGATTTTTCCTATTCCCATAGACAAGACAAAATAAAGTAGTGACTACAGGTTAAAGTAGTGGAGTAAAAGCACCGATACAGCACTGAAAATGTACTCAAGGCAACACACATTTTTAAAACTACTAAGTAAATTACAATTTCTGAGAAAATGTCCTCAATTACAGCAGTTTAAGTATTTGTAGTGTTACTTTACACCACTGCTTCTCACTACACAAAGTCTGTCTTGAATAAAAAGGAAATCACTTTAAACATTATTATCACATAATAATAATAATAATATCAAAATCACTTTAGACAGTATTAACACATAATTATAATATCAACACAAACAGGACAACAGTTGTTTACTATCATCAAGTCCTTCAGTTCCACTCGAGGTCTCCATGATCTATGCCCTGGTTTGGTGGCTCCTGAAAATAGAATTATAAAAAGTCGGTGACCTGATGACCTGAACATTCTTATATTAAGCAATGTGTTCACTTTATTCAGTAGTCAAAATCATTTCACAGGTAAAAACTGATTCAAATAATCAAATTAATAAAGCAACGATAATAAGGATGATGAGAAAACACTGATCCTTGTTTAATTCATGCTAGAAACATACTAGTAACAATTCATGCTAGAATCTTGCTAACAACTCATGCTGGACTGTCTTGTTTCAGTCTTTAAATGGTTAAATTGTTGACTGCAAGGATCTTCAACATTCTTTTTGTCATCTTGACACTTTTTCAAACTAAATAATCTACTTTTAACAGGCTTTTTCAAGCCACTATAAAGTTTGCCCTCAACCTTTATCATGTCTTTGGAAGGAAACCTATGCCTACAATAAGGGGAACATACAAACTCCACACAGAAATGTAAACTGGCCCAGTCGGAACTCGAACCAGCCAACCTCTTGCTGTGAGGCGACAGTGCTAATCACTGAGCTACCGTGCCACCTGGAGATCATATCTTCTTCAATGTTACTAAGTTGGGGTGTAATGCTGCACAAGAATGATGCTTTGGTTGGGTTTAGCTTCTTTGGCTCTCAGTTTTGTGTCACAGTTTGATTTGATTCTGATTCACAAGTTCTAATTTGTATTCTTGATTGAATTCTTCAGTGTGTTAAATGAAAATATATAAAGCTAGAAGTTCCACACGCTGTTGTTGAAAGAACACTGTATTTGTTCAGTGGTACAGTGATGTTCAGTGGTATTGCTGCTTATTAAACTGAAGTACAAATTCATAAAATGTTTGACATTTTTTTTATTAATATCAGCTCCATTGTTTTCCCCGTTTTAAAGCACACAGTTCTTCTTGAGTCTATATCTAGGGCTTGCGAAAATACCTTTGGGCACTTTGTAGAGGCTTTTTAGATCCAAATTCGTCTGTTGTAGTGACCTCCAATCAGTTCCCAATAGATTAAAACAAATTCCCTCTTATGTTTATTTTTCCAGAAGCCATCTCACTTACAAATACACCAAATCAGCACTAAATAGTTACGAAATAAAAGGCACAACTGGATTATGCTGATTTTAAATTTCCAGCAGTACTGATGCCTACAGGCTTTTTTTTGGTTCTCGTTCTGGAAGTGCTGTCTCACATGCTGACGGTCCAGGCCAAAGGAAACATGGACGGGGAAGTCCTCGAAAATCTGAAAGCAAGGCTGGAGCAGTGGTTGAGGTCAAGAAGGAGGAGCAGCCTGAAGAGGAAAAAGATGACGTTGTTGATGCAGGCGCTCTTGATGATCAAGGTCAGTGGAGTGCAGATTATATTCTATATATTTCATCATTTCCTATATTTGAATGTATTTTAATTGTACACACAGGTGACAGTGATTATAAACCAGCTGATGAGGAGGCCAGATCAAGACTGGCTGTCAAGCACTTCACTCCTTTTCCCTCCTGCTCTTCATCATCTCCCGCATCTACCTCACAGAAATGTCCTCGCAGGATGGTGGGACCTCCTCGCATATGTCTTTCAGATTCAGGCTAGGGTTAGTCTAGCTTTTTGGGTCACAGAGGTAAAATAAGTGAAGTTTTACAAACTAATTTCAAAAGGAGTGGGATATTATTAGCTGCTTTTCCACTATCATGCCAAACTGTTCTAAGAACACTTCGGTACGGTTACGGTTGTTTCTCGCTAGTCATCAGACATCCTCAATAAACTACAGTACATTTAATATAAAATAATGATCCAGGTCTAAACGATACAGTTTGAAAACGGTTTTTAAATCATAGAGCAGTCTCTGGCAGAGAAGTGAATAACTCATCACATTCTTACGAAGATATTTTATTCATTAAAGTTATTATTTTATTGACTTGAATACAGACCTACTTCGCCTGCCTGAATGTGAGTTTATTGCACGCAGCGCTGCATTTCACAGCACAAAACTCGCTCTGACTGGGAGAGAACTACCAGCGACTACATGCGCTGCTGAAAGACTTTTTTTTCCTCCTGCGCATCTAATAAAGCGAATAAAGACACGCTTAGCATTGTCAATGTCCAAATTCTACAACAACATCGCTATATCCATGGAATATGAACTTGCAGACTTATTTAACGAGGAAATAATTGCTCTTTTTAATTTAAAGCCACGACAGCTTGTTATTTTAATACCGGCGAGACCACCTGAAGGACGGCGTGTTGTAATGTCGGCCGTCCAAAAGACTTTGCTTGAAACGGAGGGGCACTGTAACTGTCCAAGGTACTGTTGTATGATTTATATTGTAGCCTATATATGCACTAATAAACAAGTCAAAAGAATGAATGAATTAAATAAATATGGATTCTTAAATGTCAGTATTGCTTTTAGTCATAAAATATCAATATGTTTTGACATGTTTTATAAAAATAAAATGAGCATTTTTCATCATTTAGCTATAGGCAATTATATGATTCAGTTATACATAAGTTATATGACATTTATGGAGCGTGTAACATGTTTCTTTGTTTTTGTTTTTTTTATTCTCTGTGATCTTTAATAGCTACGCAAATATTTTTTAAAACGTCAAGCAATAATTTGCCTACAACTTTTTAGTTAATTATGAACACAAAAATAATTATAATAATAAAAATAAAATGATCAAAATAAAAAGGTAAAAGAGCAGCATTTTGCTAAATATAATAGTCCTTTATATGCTTTAAATCCTGCTATATATGTGTTGTTTCATATTCGTTTATTATTTCACTTGCTGCATTCATTATTTAATGTTTGAATACGGAAACAAATAACAGCCATCACTTTAATGGTTATATTTTACCATCAAAATGTAGTATATTTTATATCATTAGCAACTTTTAATATAAAAATACTGCATAATATAATTGATTGTTAAAAATGAAATAATTTAAGTGCTATAATTTTATTATTGAAAGTTTTGCTCACTTTAAACAAGGCCTGTCCAAAATGATATTTCTGCCACTATACAAATGCTCTATTATTGTTGCCTTATCATTGTTTATTTTTCTGTTATGTTCAGAGATAATAAATATTATTTATTTCCCCTCCAATCATTTTCAATCATCGCGTTACATTTCGGTCATTTTCCCTACAAATAAAATTTAGCCAGAGCCGCGCAACATATGACCTCTAAATAAATAAGGGTGCTGTGACATGTACCTATATTTAGCACCCCTATTTGATAGAGCGACATAACAGTGTTCAGTCACATGGTTGCTTTCGCTTTTATGATAAAAAAAAACTAGCTTCGGCTATTATTTAAGTTTAATTGAACAAAGGGAGCCGTTTACTTTTACGTATGCGTTTTGTGTAATGTTTTGAAGAGCTTTGTCGTAGGAAATGAAACCTTATCCGTGCTGTCTGGCCTCGTTTTGCACAGTTCTACTTATAGAACGCTTCAGCAAGATAGTGGAAAAGCGGCTATTGACAGCCGGTCCCTATCAGTAATCATAATCCTGCCAATCGTATTATTCCAAATTTAACATAAATATCCAGCTTAGCTTTACTCCCTAGATTCGCTTTGGAAGACCCAACCCATTCATCCCTTCTCCCACCTCCTCAATTCTAGGATCGGGCAACACGGTGGCTCAGTGGCTAGCCATGCTACCTGACAGCATGAAGGTCGCTGGTTCAAGTCCTAGCTGGGCCAGTCGGCATTTCTGGGCAGCATTTACATGTTCTCCCTGTGTTTGCGTTGGTTTCCTCCAGGTACTCCGGTTTCCTCCCACAGTCAAAGACATGTTACGCAATTGAATTAAATAATAGTAACAGTCAAAGGCACTTAATACCAAGCTTCTCTAATTGAGTATGCACTGGTGTGTATATTTCCCAAATGATGTTTAACAGAGAAAGGAAGTTTTCACAGCATGTCTAATAATAATATTTCTTCTGGAGAAAGTCTTATTTGTTTTATTTCGGCTAGAATAAAAACAGTTTTAATTTTTTAAAGAACATTTTAAGGTCAAAATTATTAGCCCCTGTAAGTTATATTTTTTTCAGATAGTCTATAGAACAAACCATCATTATACAATAACTTGCCTAATTACCCTAACCTGCCTTGTTAAACTAATTAACCTAGTTAAGCCTTTAAATGTCACTTTAAGCTGTTTAGAAGTGTCTTGAAAAATATGTAGTCAAATATTATGTTCTGTCATCATGGCAAAGATTAAATAAATCAGTTATTAGAAATGAGTTATTAAAACTATTATGTTTAGAAATGTGATGAAAAACTCTTCTCTCTGTTAAACAGAAATTGGGAATAAAAATAAACAGCGGGGCTAATAATTCTGACTTCAACTGTGTGTGTATATATATTTATATATAAAATTAAATAAAATGTCTGCATGTTATTACAATACATATTCATAAAATTCACACCTGATTACAGTGTTCTTGTTTCTTCTTTTTAGAAGCCGAAAGATAGATGTGGTAAGATTCAAGATGCAGAAATAATATTTAAAAATTTATTTTATTGACATGATATATTACTAACTCTGAACAGTCTGATGAGGTCAGAGTTTTTCATGCGAGAACAGTCTTGTTTCAACCCTTCACAGGTTTCCAAAGTGTCTGAGTTTCCATGTCCCATCTGCAGTCGAGTATACCCCATGCAGAAACGCCTGACACAACACATGAAGACACACAGCACAGAGAAACCTCACATGTGTGACAAGGTAACGCTTTTGAATGCTGCAAATAAACTCTGGAGGGAAAAAAGCTGAGTTCATAAGACATGTTCAATTCCACCGAATGCCTGTTTTGTTATGGTTGGTTTAATGAGGATTCAGTCCACTTCAATATAATAGTAATTGTTGAAGGAAGTGATTCTCTGTAGAGCAGCTCTGACACAGTCAGGAAACACTGCTTTTCATTTACTATGTTAACACTAGTGTAAATGTGTTGCTTTGCAGTTTGGGAAATCCTTCAAGAAGCGGTACACTTTCAAAATGCATCTTCTCACACACAAAGAAAACAGTGGCAACAGCCTGTAAGTGAGATGTCTGGACAAGTATATATGTTTGTTTCCCTATAAAAATGTTTACTTGTTTGATGAACAGTCATAGTATCTCTTTCTATCTGTGATCCTTTGTCAGGTTTAAGTGTGAGTTCTGCGAGTTCTTGTCCTGAAATGACAAGAAGCATTTGCTCAATCATCAGCTGTCCCACACCGACGACAAACCTTTCAAATGTAAAGAGTGCAAGTATTCAACAAGCAAAGAAGACTTCCTGGTGTTTAACATCGCCATTAAACACACTGGAGAGTGATGTTTTTAATTATTAGGACTGTTTATACTTCAGATAGGGCTGGACGATTAATAGCAGACAATAATTTGTGCATTTTGTCAGTAAAGCTGGTTCTAATAAACATCCAGCACATGCGTTCAGATGCAGTAGCTTTTACTACACACTACACTGAGTTATTGTACACTGATAAGCTATGCAAAGCTCTGATTAGATTTAATCTATTGATTATGCATGAGAATGTATGATTTGCTCAATCGAGTTTGTAATTTTTCATTACCAATAATGAAACAGGGCTGTTCAATATTTGATTCTGATTGGCTAATGAACATTTTGAGGTCTGCAATTAATTTCTATGGAAGCAAACAGCTAAAGAAGTTCCAGGCAGGCACTATGCTGAATGATTTCAATTGTTTCATAGACCACAAATGGCAGAAATCTCATCACAGTAAAACTATAGGCTTTAGGTGTGGTAACCGTAGTACAAGTGGGATAAATGACTCTGATCTATTGAAGTTGCAGTACTTTTCTAACAATTCAATGCCTGTCAACAATTATGCCTTAGTTAAATTGGTGGAATGTTTTCTGATCATGTCTGTTTGTCTTTACCCAGGTAAAAAGCCCTTTTGTGCCACTTCACGACGCAACACAGGAAGAACTCATTTATAATAACTGAGACTTTCGAAAAGTGAAACACTCTTCGGCCCCAGACGCTGGGGTTGTGCCGATAGACGATGCCATCTTCCATCGCAGATGGCAGACAAACTTCACGGTGCTGAGCTGGCATCGGGATCCATCGCCTCGCCCCATATTTATATTGATATGTAACTTATTATGTAACTTATTATTTGCATATCTATCCCTATGAGGAAAAGATTTTTCAGATTTCAGAAAATAATACCCTCTCTGAATGTAGCTATTAAAGAGACAGGATCCTTAAATTATTTGTTTCAGACACTCTGAGAAAAGATTCAGAATCTGTTGCAAATGGGTGTAAATCATTTGACTTGCAAAACAAAATGAAGGCACTTTAATATAACATTGTGTTTAAAAAAGCGCACAGACTGACAAAACGTAAGTGTAGGTGAAGTAGCTTTGGATTAAAGTCTCTGCCTGTGTATAATAAATATAAATGTGTATATATATATTTTATCCTAGACTCACATGGCCTTGCATGCATATTTGAGGCCTCATAAATGCACCAGCTGCAGTTTTGCCTCTAAAAACATGAAAGACCTGCGACACCACATGATGACACACACCAACGAGAAGTCTTACTCCTGCCAGGTGTGCGCCTAAAGGTGAGCAACTGAGAAAGAATCATTCAAATAAATTAGCAAATCTTAGAATTTGTACTGTTTACATTATTAATACAGACACAATCATAAATGTTTCCCCAAATTAAACAAAGAAACACATTGCCCCTCATATTGAAACTCTCATAAATTATTTTTAGGTTCAACCGTAACGGCCATCCACATGGAGAGGCTTCACACTCAGGAGCCGTCTCCCCGTAAAGCTCGCTCCATCCCCTCACAGCAGACCATCATCATCAACAGCGATGAAGAAGCTTTAGCCACACTGCAGAGTAAGTGCTGGAATGAATATAATTGAGTGGAGGAACTATGACGTCAATTTTTATGCAAAAATTCTGAAGCGAGTTCCGGTTCCCTTGTCCCAAAGTCAATGGGTTTTTTAAAATGTGGTTTTGGTTAAATCCCTTAAATAAGGTTTGTTGCTACCACAAACTCAAGATACTTTCACACTTTATTTTACGACACAAAACACATCAGATACATCCCACTTTTGATTTTATTTGTTTTTATCAGAGACATTATACGTCTTCCAGCTGAACTGGTCTGGAATGCAACCCACTTTAAATTTACAGCTTGTGTTGGACATTTGGATTTGTCTGTTATTTAGTGGAAGTGTTTTCATAAATCATATTTTATATAGGTTGTTGTATTTTTTCTTATTGGGCCTTCATATTGTGTGTAGATAATGACTAGTAGAGACCATTATGACAGATTCATTTGTTTTATCAGGGTTAGAGTATCATTTATTTAAATAAAGCTATTTAATAAAGATTCTGCTTACCATAGGACACTGTCTCTTCCCTGCTTTCAGTAATGCAAAAGTTGTGAATAAATTTGTAAAATATATATAAATATTCGTGATCTAATGATTTTTTTGTCTTTTTTTCTTCATGTGAACAAATTTTTAATTATAAATGCAATATTTACACTCCTCCTTAAACTCATTTATACTCACCTTAGAACGTATATCATATGTGACTGTATGGGCTGCTTTTCTCAGTACTTCATAACAAAAAAGATTATTGATGTTCTCTATCCATGACGGCATTTGCAATGGTTTAATAGACTTTTTGATAGACCTTATTTCTGTCGTCTATGAAAAAGAATATGGGATTTGTAATTGACAGTCATAGCTAGGTTTTCACTAAGGTTAACGGGCTATGTGCACACAGGCAATACACTTATTTAAACATGTGTTATGATTAGAATATATAGGCACATTTCTAAAACAGTACAGTACATGTTTGAAAACGTATACACCAACTGTAAAGCAAAACAAATGTATTTCTCATTGGGAAACTATCCAAAAGGCATGTACTGTAGGTCTGTATAAATGTTGTGTGAGGATTATCCTGTTGGACAAAACGTGTAAGTGTAATAAACTGTGTTTGAACACAGAGCTAATTATTTGCAATCTTCGAGAAGTCTATGGGAAAATCTTATGGGGATTTTATTGAAGGAACCAGTTTTATGCTAGCAGCCGATTGGCCTACGAGGTGACATCATAGTTCCTCCACTCTATTACTGTAGTCACACAGCCCTGGTCTGTTTATTAGACACATCTTGTTACTTTGTTTCATTATATTTCTTCTTTTGTGATTTATAGATTTGCAGGCGGGTCAAACGGTCATCAGCCCAGAGAGGTTACAGCAAGCGTTGGGTCAGGAACACATCATTGTGGCTCAGGATCAAAGTCTTTCTGACCAGGTACTGCACAGCTACACACTTTCTCATTCACAGCCTGTAATTAATGTTGGGTGGTTATGAAAAATCACAAAGAAGAGCTTTACATTTGAGATTGTATCTAATGCAAGGTGGTTTAGATTTTATAAAGTGGTAAATGTATAAATGTAATATAAATTCAGGTTTTAAAGGCATGTTTTTGACAAAACGCTTCTTTTTCTAGGAGGAGGCAACATATATTCAGCAGATCTCAACAGTAGATGGACAGACCGTACAGCACTTAATGACCGGAGACAACCAGGTCACTGAGGTATGACTCAATTAATAAAGCTTTTTTCAGACAAGCAGTAATCACACACTCTAAAGTTTGGTTTTTAACAGATTTTTAATTTGAACTACATTTTCTAAAATATATAAAATAATAAGTGATTAAGGTTTTAAACCTTTTTGTTTAAATACTTTTGCAGACAAAGTAGCAAAATTTTGTGGTTTGAAGGATAGTGGAAAGTATAAAGATTTCAGTTAATAATTTATTAGTATTTTGATGCTAAACTATGAAATTAAAATAGAGTTTAGGAACATGTTATCAACTGATTCTTGTTTTAATTATGTCTGACAAGATTCTTAGGTCTATTATCTATTGTTACACTGAATTATATTTTAGTTTGTGTCTTCTCATAATCATTGTAAAAAGTTTGACAGTCTACAAAAAAGTTAGGATTAAGTGATTTTCTCCTAAAAACACGCAAAATAATATAAAAACAAGCTTATTTTGCTTTTGCACTTTCATATTTTGTTTTAATGAAAAGCTGCCTTAATGTTGACATCTTTTTGTGAAAACAAGACTATATTTTTTTCTTGTTGTGAGTTTATGATGTTTAAAAGGAATGCTGTAACATTAAGGTGAGACACATGTAATGTGTGCGACAGATCAAGGATGAGGCAGGAATCGATTCAGAATTTAAGCATTTTACTGAATGGTTTAAGCAAAAGATGTAACAATAATAGTAGAAAAAGAAATAAACATTTACAATATTGTCTTTAAACGAAAACAACGATGATAAGCCAAATCAAAGAGATTAACAAAACAAAACAATCCTTAAATCTAATGTCTAAACTAGACGACAAAAATAAATAATATCGATATCTTCAGTCACGACACCCGATGTAAACTAATTAAACTACAAACTCAAAACTACACAGGGGGCAAAACTCAAACTAATCCTAAAAAAATCAATCTAAACTAAAACAAACCTTACAAGAAGGTCATAAGGTTCAGTTTAGAATCACACAACCATCAAAGCCTTTACTCAAACCCAGCAAAGTTTAACAAGTAAACTCGAATTACCACAGTAAATAATAAATAATAATAAAAATAATAAATCATCTAATAGCCTAAGCATGACAAAAATGCAACAGCGTGGCACCCAAAGGTATGCCAAGGCAGAGCGCACACCACACACTGATCTCTCGCAGCTTTAAATCTCCGCGACTCATCCGGGGATTGGTTGATCTGGCACCATCATAATAATGATGGACGGTTAACTGAACCTATAAGAAAACTAAGAGTGGAGTGAGAAGCTGAGAGAGAAGGGTGAGGAGAATAAATACACAAAAGTAACATCCAAAACAATATATAGTTTTAATGAATCTTACTCCCAACCACTTTACTTTGTTTTGTTTTTTCCCAATCTTTTAATTACTTAGAGACAAAGAAGAAAGTTTTGCAGTGTATGTTTGATTAGGGATGAAGTATACAGGACATATTTTAATATATGATAAAAAACTAAAGCTAAATCACACTTATAGTTTTGACTCTTGAAAATAACACCAGTAAGCGCCTTAAGCCTCATATTTCCTTGTGTTAAATGGCAAAATTAAATTTGCTGCCTCTTCCACCCTGTCTTTTCTCAGGTTTAGTATATCATCTCTCAGGATGGAGTTCAGCATTTGCTCCCAAGAGAATATGTGAACCGCATTCAGGTTAGTCTTTGTGCTTTTCATCATTCATAACCCAAAAGTCCAGAATTCCTCATGGTTTTTAATGAACAGTTCACTGATGGCTCATCTGATCTGTAACTGCAACCCAAGAAGCATTTTTAGCTTTTTATGGTCTGTTGGATGCTTTTTCATCATCATGACTAAAACCCTGACTTTGAATTGCAGATGGGGGACTGGCAAATCACTCACATTCAGTATGAACATGATGGGATGTTTCTACAGGAACAACAGGTTGAGTTCAGAGCCAATACTAGCACACTTGTTTACTTTGTTCATGTTGTAATTACTGTAATTCAAATGTAACATGATTGCTTATAAATACTTGAACTGTTTGTGTTTACTTAACATTAACAGTAAAACCAATGCATGATGTATGTCTTAACTAAATCAGAAACTTTTATTGTTTTGTTTTGTTAAACATTTTGAGAGGCCTGAAAACAAACCTTTGAAAATTGGTTTGAAAGACCAAGTTTTTGAAAATGCTACAGATTTAAATTAAAATGTTTTCTTTGTAGATTACATGGCATGTAAGTGTAGATTACAGATTACTTAACAATACAACAAAACTATAAACATCATATGTTTGCAGGCACATAGTGTATTTTATAAAGAGAAATTGCCAACTACTGGCCTGACATAAATAGTACAGCATTTTTCGGCCTTTTTCACAGACTCATCTGAATGTCACATTCTCATGTTACGATGTTTGTATTTTAAAACATTTCTAAAAACAGTTCTGAATTCACAGTAAAATATTGGAATTTTATATGGATGATTTGCTGATGTCGCAGTGACTGATATGTTTAGGCTTTGGGTCAGCGCTGGACTGTATTCTTTAAAAGTGTAGTTCTAAAAGTGCGCCTTAATGACGCCAGTGGCAACTGCAGTGTGTGTTATAAATGACTGGATGCTGTTCAAACCTCATGCCAGATTTTTGTCACTGGGACTAGATCACAATATAAGCCACATCACAAGTGAGTTCAAAAATATATATTTTTATTAGAGACATACACAAAAACAACTGTAACAATAAAGAAGTGAATAATACAATAACAAGACACTATATATTAACAGCAAAGGTGTCAACTGGCTACTCCAGCATGAACCAGTCGTGGTAAGGCATCTGTCCTAGAAGAATTCTGTGCTCTGGAATCTGCTGCAGACAAGCCCACATCAGATCACAGCATTCTGTGAAAAACAAAAGGAGAGGTGAGATTATTATTATTATTATTATTATTATTATTATTATTATTATTATTAGTAAACTGTTTTTTAACTTGTTCTTTGATGAATATCTCACCTTGAGAGAGGGTAAATTTGGACCAGTCATGCTCCAGGTAGTACAGGTCATACGTCGTTGGGAAATCTCCATGCAGCAATGTGAAGAGAAGAACCCCAAGAGAATAGACAGTCGCTGGTTTGGCATGGTAACATCCTCTTTTGTAAAACTCTGGCGGCATGTACGCTTCTGTGCCTGGAGGAGAGACATTTAGTTAAATCTCTGTGTCAGCATCATGTTGATAAATATACCAGATGGGTTTCAGGTGTGCTAATTACTGAGCTTTCAAACCGTATATTAATAATGCTTATGTACATTCATAACTAGTGTTGTCAAAAGTATCGATACTGACACTCATCACAGTCATATTTGCTGAGCATGTGAACACCAATGGCCAATCAGTGTTGTTTAACAGCGTTCAATTGGACATTTTTAAAATGTCAGTCCCAAAGTCGATACTTTTGACAACCCTATTCAAAACACCTACCAGAAAAGGTGGAGTATGCTGATTCCATCATGTAATCTCCGCAGCCAAAGTCAATCAGCTTGACCTCCAGAGTGTTTGGGTTTACAAGCAGGTTTTGCAGCTTAATGTCTCTGTGGAATACTTCCCGGTAGCAGCAAACATTGGCAGCATGAACAGCTTGGCCCATGATAGTTTGTGCCGTTTGCTCGGTGAGGACGCCTCCGTTGAGTTGCAGGAATGCCTCCAGGTCCATACTTGGCGTAGGCCGCTCCATGACCATGACATAATGGTCTTTGAAGACCTGCCAGTCAAGGAGCTGAATTATATTGGCACACCTGGAGCCACTGCTGGCCATACTTGCCAAGGTGATCTCTAGAGGTGGCTGGTCATGAGACTGAAAACAAAATAATGATGTTGGTTTTCAAACAAGGATTTTTAACCACAGCCTGTTGTCTAATATTAAATATAAGACATTTTGAGTTGAACACAGTGACTGAGAAGAGAAAAACAGAAAGTGTAGTGTACTTACAGAGCAGAGATCTTGCATACGTGGTGTCATCTGGGCAAATTTAACAGCCACCTGTTTAAAGAAATAAGCGAACAATTAACATGTGCATCCAGATCATTTCATTCAAATCCTGAACAGAGGTTTCATCAATTTAAATTCTCAGAAATGTCAAAACAATGAAAGCATGTTTCTGATGATGTTCTTTAAATAGTGAACTTCATCAAAGAATTTGAGTCTACAGAAATGAATACCTGCAGACCATCCTGTATGCGGATCCCCTCAAAAACAGAGCCGAAACCTCCTTCACCGAGCTGCTTTCCCAGATTGTAGCGGGAGCTGATGTCATCTGTTAAAAAAGAAGAACATTTAGCTGACTGGACACAAAATCTTATTAAATTATAAACCAAATAAAAGAGTTTACAACAAATAAGACTTTCTCCATAAGAAAAAATATTATAGGAAATGAAGGAAGTGAAAACTTCTTTACTCTGTTAAAAATAATTTGGGAAATATTTGAAAATGGAATAAAATCACAGGAGGGCGAATAATTTCGACTTCAACTGTATAATTTTAAAATGTTTGATAAGCCTAAACAAATGTTATGAATTCTAGCAATAAACGTACTATTGTCCAAACAGGTCTCATCATCTGCTGTAAGACTCAGTGCAGAATCATCAGCGGAGTCATCTTGTGAGACCTTCTGGTTCAGTGAAGACTCCGAGTCTTCATCCAGTGCAGAGTCAATGTCAACCTGCACAGAGTCTCCGCTGAACGCTTCAAAGATGCCGTCTGTTGAGAACTGCTGGCTCACTGGAGATTCAAAGCTGTTCACTTCAGATTTCACAGTGGAGTCCAAGTCTTCTTCTGCTGGAGCATCAGGAATTGAAGGTTGGAGAACCTCCAGCTCCAGATTGTTCACAGCAGTGTGAAAGAATTTCGAGCTACTGATCGGCTCGTCCTGTAGGTCATGGATCTCCAGTGCAGGGAGCGGATCTAAAGAGGGGAAGGAATATCATTAATATGATTCTGTAACTCTTTTGACTAGATATTTGAAGT